TCTTCTTCTTCTTCTTTGTAGGTTCCTTCTCTTCAGCAAAACCTTGCGAAGGTGGCGTAGCTGCGTACAGAGGAGCGCGTTTAGGCCGGAAGTACCTGCGTCCTAAACCCTAGAAGTGCGTTGAGGGTTTTATTGGTCATTTTCTCGGGCGGAGATTACTGCGACCGCATGCCTCATTGTTTTTATTCGTCAACTTTTAGTTTGTTGAGGGGAGAAAAAACTTTTATTGTGTAACAACTAAAGATAATAAGAGGTTTTTTTGAAAAGATTTTCATTATTTTTTTTATCAGATATATCCCTATATTTATTTTAGAGCGATGAAAGCTAGGATTTGCGAGAAAATGAACATCATCCACCGGATGACGATGAGGGATGAAGACAAGAGCTTTGGACAAGAGAGAGAAGTAGGACGATCTATTCATCAATGTCATCATCGTCGTCATCGTTCTTCTTTGTAGGAGGTTTTGCTATGTCAAGAATACATTTTAGCCGGAAAGATCTGCATCCTAAATCCTAGAATTATGTTACTGAGCTGGAGGAACTTTTTTCGATTGGAGATTTCTACAATCGTGAGCTTTTTTTTTCTTTGTTATCTTTTATTGTAGGCTAACTAAAATAAATAAATAGATGAACTACGTATTAGCCTCAATCCTCAAATTAATTGACAACTATACTACCCAAATTATCAAATTCAATCAGCAATAATAAGAATATTAAATCCTAAACATCATCATAATTATTAACTGTTTATTATCATAATTTGATTTGACTTGTTTAAATGCTCAAGAGATTATTTAGAAAATCGCCTCACCATGGATCCAACGTAATCGTTTCACGTCAAACTTTACTATCTACGATATCATGAAAAAAATGTAAGAAGCTCCTCGGAGGGATTGGGGAGCAATATTCTTTGGTTTGAAGGATACGAAAGGATAAACTATTTCGATTGATCTACCTCTCTAAGTAGGAGCTTCCATCGTGAAAGGAACATGGCAAACTCAGTCAGCTGCTTCCTTACTGAAAACAACTACCACAGACATATGGTGACCATCGAAGAGAGCCCAAGGAAGCTTCCTTCATACTCAACTCTTAGCAGTCGAAACCAGCAACCAAAAGAGATCCACCTTCCGCTACGCTTTGACTTTACCAACACACTATCTAATGCCCACATGAAGCTCACTCTGCTTGAAATCTTTCAAATGAAGTTGTGATAAGATGACTTATATTGTTAAGTTAATGCTTAAATTATTTTATTATATTAATTATGATATATCTGTTTAAAATATTATTTTTAATAGGTCTGACATTTCCAAGAAACGTTCACGGTTGCACTCTGACAGAATCGATTTGCATAGTGCTTGCTACGTACTCTCTACCCCTCTTCTTTCCTACACTATACAATTCTCTCTTTTTTCCGACACTTTACAACTCTCTACGATATTTGTTTGCATATATTGTGGAATTTCAAATAGCAGACAAAACAAGTAGCTTTGGGAGTTCTTCATATCTACATAATAATATCTTATGATAGTATCTACATTTGATAGAGTAAGTTCGGAAAGATAAGTATTTCACATATAAAGGATCATCACTGCATTTCCCTAAACCAAGAAACCTATCATGAATTGCATCCATGTATAGACTGATCACAATACAGCATGCACTAAGATGGAACATCATGGTGATGAGATTTGGTCTGACTAGCAGAGAATAAAAAGAGCATAGTTTTAGTTTTTGTGATGAAAACGATTAAAGGTGGTAATTGTTATGATTTAACATTAAAAAAAAGGTTAGATATTAATAAATTAAAAAAAATATATTCTTAAGTTACATAAAAAATTCATACAAGATTTAACATGGTTAGATAACTCCTATCTATATTCATAGATAAAATTAATTTTTTATTATATAAATCAATTATAAGATCCTTGAATTATCTTTAGTCAAATACAACTCCTCTTGTACATTGTCTTCTTCTTTTAAATATATTTAGATCTATGAAAGATAAACCCTTAAGAGCACCTAAGATATTTTGTATCTCTCTCACTAAAATCTTAAGACTCAATATGTATTTATAAGTAAATCTTAATTCACTAAGGAGCTTCAATTTAATTATCTTTATTTTTAATTATTTTTATTTTTACTCTTGCCTTCTTTAAAAAATAAAGATTTAACAACTATTATCTATTGTTAAGTCTCTTCAAGGGATTTTGGAACTAGTGCAAAGCTCATTTACTGGATAACACTTTAAGCATCGAGAAAACTAAGAGTATTTGACTTTGCTCGCCTCCTCGAGGGTTTTACCTCATGCATCAAGCTAGGTATTAGCCTTTGTCTGCTCTTTACTCATACTTCTAAAGCACATAAAGTATTACACTCATTGTACTAAGTTAGCTACTATGATTTATCTTCTTGTTGTCATTGAACTTTTAGAATGCAGGATCGTATATTGTCTATTTCGTTTTCTAGTTGAGCACTCTCACATTGACTTGAAGTCTCCCTCTTTAGCTATCTTGATAAGAAGTCCATCAACATCGATCTTATAAAGTTCTCTAGCTTTTGCCTTTTATTTTATCTTAATACTTAGAGTTTGTCATTATATTCTCCATCTCATCGACCTCTTTCATGACCATATATACTCTCTCTCCATGAGAGCAAGGGATCGATATCTCTATGGAAATCTCACCTCTATGGTATAATGATACTTCTATGCTTATTATCCTACTATCTATCACTTCACATCTATGTCTCATTTCTTCATGATTCATATATCCACCTCTATAATACTATGACATTTCTTTAAGTCCACCTCTATTCTAGCTAATGCTTAGTCTTGGGTAGTTAGGTCCCTACAAACTCATCATTGCTTCCTCACCCTTTTCGACTACCTACTTTAATCTCTATATTCTCCAAGTAGTTCACTTTAGTCAATTGAAAGATAGTCTACAACTCTTATGCATGGCATCTGCCATTATATTGTACGACTCATCCCAATTCTATTCTCTTTTGTGTCTATAGTAGTAAAATTTGTTCCCTTGGCCTTGTTTTCTGACTTATCAGAATCCTTTGAGCGAATATGAGCTATGGAACAATTTACTCTCTAGTTGCTCTAATCATATCTTTGTATGATCATGTTTCTCATAGGATTCATTAGCACTTGCACTTAGAAGTCTTCCTCGGCAATACAACCTCCATACTACTGACCGAGGCTTTTATTCAATATAATATTACTAATTATATGTGCTCTGCAAGCCAATCATATGAGTGATGACACATGTGACATGGTACTCACTTTTTTTAGTTATTATTATTATTATATTTTCTTATTTTATATTACTTGTTATATATATATATATATATATATATATATATATATATATATATATATATATATATATATATATATAGTGATGTCCATGGATTTGTGCAATGGGAATCAGATTGTGATGAGATCACGATAATGAGACCGATTTACCTTTAAACACAGATCCTAAATAATCTCGGTCATATGTTACTCGAGAGGAACATTGAGATAACTTGACAAACTAGTGTATTATATATGCGTCCATATGATGGAGGTAGTTAGTCTCATAGCTACTCGTATGGGAACATTAGGAATATAGTGCAAATGCTCATTGGAGAATAAGTTCATTGATCCGCTTACGGAATGTTGAATGAAGAATAAGCATTTTTATTGCAAGTTTATTGGAGATCTATTTGTTGGAAGATTTGACTTGCTTCAATTACATTTCTCTTAATTCTTCTATTTTAGTAATCATTGACCGGCTTCTTCAAAGTCAAACTTGAAGATTGAACCACTAGCTCATTTTTTATGTTTTTCTCATGTTTCTTCTTTAAAACATGATTCGTTTGAAATTGCACTATATTTCTTGAAGTTGTTTTGAGGTGTTACTATTAGGATTGTTTCGACATTAAGAGGAGGGGGGGCTGTGAATTAGTGCTTACAAGAAAAACTTCAATTTTAAAAATTTCGTTTAACGAAAACCAATAATGAAAGTGTGCTTGACTTAAAAGTAAGTGAACTAAGTAATTAATTCAGAAAATAAAAGCAATGAAAAGTAGAATAGAAATGAACACTGAATTTATAGAAGTTCAATCGTCGCGATCTACGTCTACTCCCGATTCCTCTTCCGTCGAGGCCACCAACATTCACTAACGATCTTCTTTCAATGGACCAATACCAACTACCCTCTTTATAACTCTTTCTCCTTTTCACAGGTTTAGGAGATAATATTTATGAGTCTCACACCTCTCTTAAAATGATCACAAAACTTTGATGAGGAGAAGAAGGATGCTTAGCACTTTTTCACAACTTCTTAACTTAGAATCATAAGGCTTTTCGTTCACTTTTCATGCCTTATCAAGCAGGAAAGAGTGGAGTATTTATAGGCCCCAAATAGCTTCAAAATGGAGCCAAAAAATATCTCACCTCGGGTTTTCGGGATACTGGGTGGTACCACCACCTGCTCCCTTGACAACTGACGGTACTACTGTCCAATCTGAGCAGTATCACTTCCAGACTTGATGGGAGACCATGTTCTAGGCGGTACCACCATCAGTCTAAGTGGTACCATCACTTGACACTAACGGTACCATCGTCAGGTCTTTTGGAAAATATACACTTCGTACGTTCTAGCCCATAAGCAGTTCTGTCACCTAGTCTGGTAGTGCCACCGCCTAACCTAACTTTGAGTCATTGAATGGACCCCTCAATGGGCCCAACTCAACTCTAAGTTGTCCAGCACGTCATTTGTTCATCCGAACTCCCGATAAACTTTCGACGTGTCATCCGAACCTTTGACGTATCGCCCAATCCATCGGCATATTGACTTCTGCAACGTCCAATTCTTCCGTTCTGATGCCCGATCTCTGAGTTCAGCCCAATATTTGATTCTTCTTTAATCGTTTTATCTTTTCATGATCAAAGTAAGTCATGCATCACTTTTCTCAAAACACATATTAGATCAAAAACTTCGTCAATCGATTTTATATCAATAGATTTTGCATTTTTTCAGTTGTACGGTGAACCCCGGTGAGACTCTATACAAGTTTCAAAGGTGAATGATATTAAAGAATCAATTTCTTTTATTTTTTTGGTTTGCAAATGAATAATACAGTGAGGTTACTTGTAAAATGGAACAACAGTAATCGAACATATTTCATGCATGCGAGAGAAATGGAAATACAAACTGGAATCAAGAACCTTGTACCGACCATACTGTGGCATTCCAGGCAGTACATATGCTCTGTAGTCTTATTGTGCTAAATAATGTTATGGCTTATTTCATGAAAAGTCATTCTCTCCTTCTTTTTTTCTTTCTTTTAGTTTGCTAAGACAAATATTATATTTTAGAGAAGTGAGATTCTTTATACCTAAACTCTTATTATAGTAATGTTGACTGAAACCACAGCTCTTTAGTGGAATACAATTTGCCGGTATTCCAACTTATCTTTTGTTATTTGAAGCGTCATTTTAGGGGAGTCAGAGTTGTATGATGAGGAAAATGTATTTGTCATCACATGAAAACTAGCTGTCTCACTCCAGCATTTCTAGCCTTTGGATCCCTCTTTGAGTAAATTTTGTTGTTTGACTTTCTTGAATGCACTTCATGTTGGATAACATTAGAGATGGTATTTCTATGTACTGGAGAACCACAACTCTAGTTTCTGGTATTTCTCCCAGTTCAATCTGGTTAATACCTTCAATGTTGTGATGATTGGCATGGACTAAATTGAGCTCTAGCATATGTTATGGTTATTGCTCAGATATACAATGAGACAAAGGTAATTGTTGTTTGATAGGACAATAATCTAATTATCATAAGACTTCAGCTGGATGGTTGCTGTATGACTTGCTGTTTGAATCTTAACTCAGAATATTTTTTTTTTCATTTAGTAACAATTGGATATTTAACGGTGTGTTGATATGTTTTGCTTGTTTTATCCTTTCGTAGGAGAGTCCAGAACTCATAACCAAGATATAGTTTTATCTTTTCGAAGCACACAAGCTTCGAAGACTCGACAGATTTATGAGTCTTTGGTTTCTATTCTCCTCAACCAAATTAAATAATCTTATCAATATATATATATATATATATAGAAAAATCCAATTATTTTTCTCGTGAAATGTATATTACAGAGACAGTGGCCTCTCCTCCTTTAAAACGTGTCTTTGTGTGACAGATCCGTATCATCGGGCACCCAAAGGCAAGGCCATGTCGTCCAGAGCATGAAGGAGGGAATTGTTGCAATGGCCGCCCGAGATAGATACTCCATCGTAAACGAACAGTTAACTAAACTCATAGTTTTTGACTTGATAGTAGGAGCTGTTGACACAATGAATGCAGCAGCAGCTGGAGCACCATCATAACAAGAAGCTAATCCACGAGAGCTCACGCTGCCGGATCTCTGTTGGGTAGGTCGGCCGTCGACGTCAGACCTCGAAAGCATGCAAGACACATAGGATGTTTCCTACACAGTACTGTTATGAATCGTCGGCAAGAACCGTGAGTCGGTGACAACTCCCCCCGCACATGGCCATGACCCAGTTTCACTTCCTCCACAGTGGCCTATGGCTGTCCAAGTTGTGATACCAGGACCGCAGATGTTGATGGTGCACGCCATTTGTTCAGGTACCTGCATGCATCTGTGCGTGGCATTTTCTTTCTGATGTGATTGCTCTATTAGAATATTATATATATTCATGTGCGAGATCATGTGTGGATGATATATATTAGGTTTGATCCGCAATAACTCGATACGTTTTTGGAAGGAGGAGGATTAAGTTTTTGAGTATCCATGTTAGTGCAGATGAGTTTGATTTTGACTCAAACTCATGTAATATATATAGCTCCTTTGTAAAAACTGAAAGCCAATCGATGCAGGCAAATCGGAGTGTCCTTTTTGGCTTACAGCATGTTTTCTTCATATTATATCGTAAACAAAAGCCTAATGAAGATGTAAGTTTCTTATGCATGAAATAGTTTCTCTACTGACCAAAGCCTTGTCCACTGGTTTATAATGAACTGAACTGAACTGAACTGAACAAAGTTGGGTGATATTGCTTATTTATAATGAACTGAACAAAATTGTTGTAATGGTAGGAGATAGATTTGACAATATGAAAATAGTTGATGGAAGAAGCAGAGCATCAAGATTGTTGCTGGGCAAGAGCAGATACACAAATAGTCTATAATCCACAATTCTTCTAAAATTATGGATATTAGATTTCAAAAATAATTTACTGGGCTTTTTCAAAAATAAACATTGATCTTTGGTCTAATATTATTGAATAATCATCATCAGGACCAATGTACTATCATTGGACCAAGAACAAGATTTAAAACCAAGTGATGCAGCAGGCAGGCAGGACAAGAGATGCTCATAGGGGACCAAAGTGGCAGAATAAATGCCTCCTTGCCCCTCTCTCAATCAATCCAACACATCAAGGATGATGGTTGATGTCGACTACTGCACACTCTCACCTTCTGCCGACGGTTCCTAAAAGGTCAAACCAAACCCCCAGCCATCTTCCATCCATGACAAGGAACAAAAAGAAGCAAAAAGTAGGGACAACTGCAGCAGAAATCAAGGCAACAAAGCATTGAAGAATCTCTTTCAGCTGGATGATGAACCGATCCATTGCAAGATATGTGTAGCTGTTTTATGCTTGTACAATGCAGCCAAACTCTACAAGAACACCGAATTGATCCCATGTATTGACAAGGTTTTTATGGAGAGTGACAAGAATTTTATACAGGACTTTGAAACAATGATCTTATTGTTCGGGAAGAGATGCAATCCTCCATTCTCTCTTGTAAAGAAGATCGAACCAAAGCAGGAAAACTTCCAATGAACAAACTTGAGAATTCCATTCTGCACAAGTCAATGCCAATATAGATTTCATCACTGTGGTGTCGGAACGGCTTATACCCTCAACAAATGGGTGCTCTTGCCATCCTTTTCTAAGTCAGGTCAGCTCATCTGCTCCCCAATCAGATCAAGACCCACGAGAAGGAAGGACATGCCCTGGAAGAGCAGAAAATAGAAGTGAATTCCCTGAGCTGACAGAAGACTGCGAGCGGCTGCCGTGAGGAGGAGAAGAGACAGAGCCAGCTCCTTCTTGTAGATTTTGTTGGCCTTTCTCGCGGGTGATGGAGCTTTCTCGTGCTGTTCCTTCAGTCTGTTGAGCTCGCTAAGTTCACTCTCCGATGCTCCTTTATGGAACAGCGGAAGGCTTACGATTTTTGCCTCCCTCTCTGCGGCAGTCAGCAGGTCCGATTCCGACGACCTGCCTGCTTTTTTGGTGACAACCCATTCATATGAACTCCCCAGTTTGAATAATCCTGAGACCATGGCATTGAATTTGGTCACAGACATGGTGTTCTCAAAGAGAAGATAAGGCACAACGAAGGGGAAGGATCTCAGTGCTGGGAGAATGTTGAGGAAGGACATTATGACCGGCACGTAACATATAACCCAAACAGGTAGTTCAGCCTCTGGAACGAACATGGTTAGGGGAAGAATTACACAAAATAATGTGAAAGAATAGAAAGGAAGGATCAACTTCCTTAGGAGAAAAAATAACAGGATTAAGTTTGCCTTCTTCCATATCGATATCTGCATCAAAGCCATTGTTGGAATTCTTAGAAACTTGAGTTCCAGTTTCATAATTTATGTTCATTCCTAGGGATCAAATGTACCTTTGAGGTTATAATAGCTGGAAGGCACAGCCGAAATAAATGCATTGGGCCAGAATGCCATCGGTGCTGCTGTTTCCGATAAGCCTCATAGGATTCGGGTACTTCACAAAGGACCTGGCCAGCACATGGATGTCAGCCAAATAATTCAGAATGGAAATCGAGCAAGAGAGTCGAAGCTTGATGTGGTAAGTACCTTAACATCATTTAAGAAGATGAACTTCCAACCATGGAGGTGGGCACGAACAGCTATGTCCATATCCTCCACGGTTGTTCTCTCGAGCCAACCCCCAGAATCCTCCAACGCCTTGATTCTCCACACGCCCGCTGTCCCATTGAAGCCAAAAAAGTTCCAAAAAACACCATTTACCTGTTGCTCCACTTCAAAGTGAAAGCAAAGGTTGATGTTTTGGAGACGAGTTAATAGGTTCTCATTCTTGTTCACGAAACTCCATCGTGCCTGAACTAATCCGAGCTCAGGGTTGCCCTATATTGATATAGAAATGGCAAATTAGTGCCTAAAAACACACGGACGAACAGCTGGAACTTGCAAATGGTACTTGACAAGCTAAATGTGGCTTTACCTTGAAATGTGGAATGGTTAGCTTAAGGAAATCAGGATTTGGTTGGAAGTCAGCATCAAATATTGCAACAAACTCATAGTCCCTAACATATTCACAGCTCATTGCAGACTTGAGATTTCCAGCTTTGTAACCAGTCCTGACCAACCGATGCCGATACACAATATTTACACCTCTCTGACTCCATTTGGAAACCTCTGTGCTGATCAATAGCTGGATGGCCTCATCATCAGAATCATCAAGCACTTGGATCAGCAAACGATCTTTAGGCCAATCGATTTGACAAGCAGCAGAAATTGATTGCTCATACACCTGAGGCAAACTGATATTCAGCAATCTTTTCTGAAGAAGAAATTCTCTGGTCATCTTAAATGATAAATCAACTCAAGTAGTTGATTGATCATTATATCCATTTTTCTTGTTAAACAAAAGCAGTTTACGAACTACAATTCCAAAAATTCTTCTGATAGATTGATCATTATATCCATTTTTCTTGTTAAACAAAAGCAGTTTACTAACTACAATTCCAAAAATTCTTCTGATAGAATTATGTGTAGCAAAAAATCTATCCATTAGATCACATAAGTAGGAGGGAGAAGAACTACAATTCAAAAAGGAGCATCTTACCTCTCTCTCATTGCACATGGGGATCTGGACTAGTACCATAGGGTACACATACTCTGATCCATCATCTGAATTGAATGGGTCACTCTCTACCCTTGGCTTAATCTTTTTGAACTTGATCCAGAAGCAACCAAGGCACAAGATCAACCTATCTGCAGACTGTATAACAAACAGAATTATGCACATATATGACAACAGCTGAATTGGGTAGGCAATGTAGTCAGCTCGGAATGAAAGCCAAGAGAGGTAGGCCGAGTGCATCCACCCGTGGATCTCGGTCGCCTCCGGTATGTGCAAGCTCTCCGGTAGGCGCAAATCGGGCTTCTGGAAGTGCCATCCGTTCAGGTACGCGACCAGCTCGAATGCTAGAGCAACCAAGGAGAACAACAAGAACCCTCTAATGAACCTTAGCATCAAACGGCCTTTGTCAGGCTCGTCACTCTGGGTGGCAGCTGCTCGCCGGAAGACCAACCGCCTCTTGACGACTCTAGGAAGCGCCCAGAGCACGGCCGCCACCGAGGCAATGCAACCGACAGCATAGTGGGCCTTCAGGAGCAAGACCCAGGTGAACTGCTTGGCGTTCTTGCCCCGGCCCTTGTCCATAGACGGGAATGCTTCGGCGTCGGGGCCATCGATCTCAAGAACCGAGTAGTTGGGGTTCTCCATTGTCACCACCACCGGGGTGCCCTTCCGCTTATCCTTCGCCCACCAGCCAGAAAAATCCAATCTTGGGGCCATTGCTTGCTCCCAAGAAATCCCTCCTCACCTTACAATGCGGAGAACCCTCAACAAGTCAGGCAATCTAGCAAACTATCCTTTCAAGCTCTGGCAACAAAATTGGATTTTGATGCCGGAGATCCATAATCTAGCTCACACTCAAGCATTATAAACCTAATGCAGCAAGTGAGAGAAGCAGAGATGGAACGCTGAGAAGCTAGGACCAGGGTTTCTTTCCTCCCTCGCTCTCTAATCTTCCACAAGGCAGAACTGTGGGGGAAGGCATCTGCAGTTGTAAAGCCTCAGAGCATGTGGACATTATTCAATGTCTAAAAACAACTCAAACTCCTACCCTCATTTCAACTCTGCCTGCTCTTACCATGGGTGGAATGTGATTCCCTTTGTCCCTTTCACCCCTTCTGTTTCCTAAGTAAATATAATCTCAGTTAGATGCTGCAAAATCTAGAACAAACAAACATGACTCCGGCGGCCTCAGGAAATGGCAAGTTCAGGTTAAATGCAACCAAAGAAAAAGGAAGCTCAAATTTGACACCTACATGCAAAAAGAAAAAGGAACCCAGTAAATTAGGCAAACTACTGCTTCTAGATTGATTGAGCTGCAGAAGATAAGAGGTTTACCAAAGGTGAAAAACTGCAATAGAACTTTCTCATCAAGCAAGATCCACCGGACAGTCAAAAGCGGCAACGCAATCCGATGAGATGGCTTTTGGGAAGCAAAGGATCAAACTTGGCCACTTTATCTTTTGCTTTCCTTTTTGGCTTCTGCTAACTTTACCTTGTTTTCTTGCTTCTCTCACCTCTCACCTCTCACCTCTCACGAACCCAAAGAGACCATATTAAATCCTGCAAGGAAAGAACAAACATTTCCACATGGACATGCTTGCAGGACAGCATGATGGGTGTGCAAATCTTAAATAGTCTGCTCTGTATCTTCTGCTTCTTTAGGATAGATTGTTGCAGGTCAATATTAAGTTAGTGACTACTAGTTTGGACATTGGATTAGGTAACTAAACAGGTTTCTTCTAATATGGTAGGAGGCAGGTCTTAATCATGGTTAATTGTTGATGGAAAGAACACAATCCAACTCCATCTTTCACGAACAACACTACCCCATGAAAGGACAATACAATAAACATACACACAAGATATGCATATGTTTGGTCACAATCAACAACTCATGTCTTCCTGGGATTGGCATGTTAAGAGGAGAAAGGTTCTTTTCCCACAAGAATAAGCAACAGTGAAAGAGAAAGAATAATGATCATAATCTTACCAGCCTTGACTCACCGATTAGGATTTAATTATCTTCGAGAGCAGAGCCTTAATGAGCCAACTGATCACTAATGATAGAGTGTAATTGTTGTAGACAAGTGCCCTTAATTAACTAATGATGGCATCTTGAGCAAGAAATGGGAACAATGGGCTTCACTGATGCTGGTCCAAGTCGGATTGATTACAGTGTGTCACCAAATCACTAAAAATAAGCTATCTGCATGACTTCTCTTTTCTTTGAGGCACCTTTCTCATTTGATGTTTCAGCTAATCAAGTCGTTCTTTGTGTTTGTACTGCTCATCTCAACCACTGTTAGCAACAAATGAAGAACATGATATTTTTGACCTGCCATAGTACATCATTCCAAAAACCACACCAAACCTAACCCAATGGAGGTTGCCATTTGTCATGTAATCAAGTGATTAGAGCTTCATCAACATGGCACCTCAACCACAGGCTGAGCAAATGGCACAATCACTCTCTCAGTCAATGAAATTTTGTATGCTCCTGCAACAATGTGTCTTGATTTAGGACTGGCTTATGGATTTCTAGAACATAATTCACATGTTTCCCCATCTGGTCATCATCATTTTGCCAACCTGCTGGTCTTTTTATTTATACAAATTACAGTAATCGAATTACATAGTTTGATGATCATAATGTTTTCGAATTACTATCTCAGAATCGGATGAAAAAGGGTAGTGATAGCTTTATAAAACAATGCTGTGAATGATGTCTGGCCTGTGGCTGTTTGACCTGCGAGGAAACCGAACCACAATCCCTGTCATTCCACCTTGAGAAGGACAGCTAAATGATAGTATTAATTTCTCTCTTTTTCTTTGCCTGACATGAAGAAACAATGTCATTTATTGTTGTGACAAGACTGGCCACAACTCCTTTTTCTTGATGTGTTTGTTCATTGGACCAGGTCAGCATGTTCTTGGCAACACCAAGACACACCACCCACCCAACACTCTAGCTTATATGGACATGATTATGTGAGACTAGCAATTGGAAATGTTTTACATGTTTGAGGTTGATAATTGCACTCTTTCTTAAGGGTATTGATGAGATTTCATTTTTAAGAAAATTCTTATGTTGATGGAGGTCTACTGCTACTATGTTTTCTATATTTTCTACCAACTGAGAATTTGTAGGGACAACGTTAAGTCAACTCCTCCCTCGTCTCAATTGGATCCACAACCCAGTAGAAATATTGGGTCCATCTTTTGTTGACCAATAGAGATCACCGACGCTTCGGCCTAACGGGGCCGAAACGTCGGACAACGTCGGCCGTCATCAGTGTCCACCGCTCCTTTATCCAAGCAACCGTTGGATTCCATCCCCGCGGGCCCCGCCAACGTTGGTGTGGGCGAGTCGCGTCACCCACATCCCCAAACGCGAAGGAGTAAGACGTCAGCCGCTAACAACGTCGGTTTCCATAGTTCCCCCGGTAATTACACGCCCACCCGCTCCTTCGCGGCCATTCGACGGCATCATCCCTTTCGAGAAGTAAGACAGCAGTCTCCATCCATTTGGTTGGGATGTCAGGACTTCGTCTTGTATGATTTCATCCTAATTTATCTCGGTCATATTTATAAGATCATTCAAATGACTGGATATTTGAGCAAAGATGTGACCGCTAGCAGAAAGCCTTCTGCATCAGTTGTGCCATCAACCTCAAAGCCCTCTTTGTCGAGCTTGAATCTTGCAGGTAGAGCGCACCTTTCTCGAGCAGGTACGCCGGTGAGATCTACTTTTGTAGTTCCTGGCATTCTTTTCTCCGTTTGAGTACCGACAAACCACCCTCACGAGAAAGAAAACCCAGCACAGTTGACTTGAACTTGATTATTAGAGTCAACACTGTGGCGGGAATGAGTGCGTTCCTACCAAACTCCGCTGTGACATAGAATAGACCTTCCATCTTCCAATCTTGGCCTCCTCTTCGATCGATCTCCACATGCACCGGGGCTGCAGAAGCCAGTGCTTGCAGATGGCATCTTTTGTTAGGTTGTACCTCAGTTTTGTCAAACGACGAAGCAAGCATCACGTTGTACAATGTGCATGGGAACTGATAAAGAAACCCTAAGGAGTACTCCCTGTTGTGGGGAGGAGGAGAAGTCCACGTAAACGGTGGTTGGGGATTCATCTGCATGCACGAAGGAGTACTACTGTACCTTCACGATTGCAGCAGGACAAAGCTTTGTAGGACCCACTTGGGTTCAAGCCAATGTTGGCATGCATCTTTCAAGTGCCATTCTTTCGATCCTACTAACCCCTAACCCTACGCACCTACGTGAAGTTGTCAATCGTAAATCCTACTTATGTTCGATCGAGTTTGACGAGGCAGATGAATCGGTTTAGTTTCACGATGAAACTAATGTGAACTCTCGCCCAACATTGACTTGAATCCAAGTGGCAAATCAGGTTATCTGTCATCAAAAATTACATGCCCTGCTAACTCTCCCGAAACACCAGTTAAGCTTTCACAATCTAGCAGTTTCTAAATTATTAGTCATGCAAATTAAGATTCACTCTGTCACCAATCAGGACTTAATATTCTCTCATTAATTTACTTAATCTTCTATAACATATAGTGATTATAGAATGAATTATGTAAATAGATAATTCTAAACTCTTAGTATTCATTCTAAACTTTTCAATCGTCGTTAATTCTTTCTCTCCTAATACGAATAGATGTTGACTTAAGCATCAAAAGAATTTTATCGGATATATCTCCATCATAAGTTTTATAAGAATCATCCAAAATTAGATAGTCAAATCTTTCTAAAACATGAGAGAATTTTGATCGCCTCATGTAGAGTTTCCCAAATGGACATTTTTCCTAGTGGGGCTCTTGGATTAGCCTTTAGAATGGGTTCTTCGCAAGTCCAAATAATATTAAAAAAATAGAAATACGTTAGTCAATTTTGTCATGTCAATCATAATAATATGTATTTTATCGGTGCAAGAATCACTAGGCTATTTGTAAAACCATAAAAAAAATTTAAAATACCATATGCAATGCATATCATGAGTTTTATGTTAAGTTCATGATGTTACATTTTTCTAGCATTATGAAAATTTTAATAAATGTTTATGCTTATCAAAATCTTATTACAAGATTTAAGAAAAAAAAATCATGCGATGCATGATGAAATAATGTTATGTATACTAGCAAAGCCTAAATTATATTAGAAATATGAGGCTTTACATATATTATTTGGATGTATGAATTTGTTTACACTTTCATTGACATATTTATTATTTATATTTTAAGTATGTATTTCAATTACTTAAATGCATGATTCATTAAATGAATTATATGTTATTATGAATGATAATAGTTTTTTGAAAAAAAAATATATCATGATAGTCTTCATAAAGACATAAATGAAATGACTATTGTCATTAAATCATCGATAAAGATAGATCTAATGTTGTTTGTTGTTCTCTCATTCGTTAATGGACTGCTCTCCCCTCTCAATCGGCCTTCATTAGGACGAAGCATATTTGACTGATATCTGAATCAGTTTTATTTCTTTATATTTCCCTTCTCTAATCACATCATCACAACAGTCGATTCCTTCTTGGCCTATCTCGATGAGCGTCACCGTTAGTTATGCTGCTTCCCTGATCTCTGCCATTTCCACAGTGGCATAGTGATATGGGCTACTTGGCTCCGTAGACGACATTCCTTCTTCCGGTGAAGCAAAGCTGAAGTCGGAGCGGTCGGATACGCTCACAGGGCTCTGTGAACCAACCGAGCCATGAAGCCCTGCCGCGTCCCCAGGGCGTGCAATTTTATTCAGATCTTCGTCGTCCAACTCCCCGTAGTCATCCATCTTCAAGGTAAGGCAAGGGCGAGGCCCGTCGACGTCGTGGTAGTGCTTCAGCACCGCCACTATCTTCTTCCAGAGAGACGTCTTCTCGGAAGCGGCAGTTCTGAGTCCATCCCATTCATGGTAGATGAACTTGGCCAGGCCGATCAGTAATGCGAGCCCCGAGACGGCTCCGGTGATGAGGAAGAGGCCGCCGAAGCTCCAGAAGGCGAGACTCGAGGAGCTGAGGCTGTTGCTCTGCGGTGTGCAGTTGGTTCGATCCCCAAACCATTTCTTCTCGATCGCTGCCATCTTCTCCCCCTCTGTCACGTTCAGGATGGCCCTCGAAACGTCAGGTACGAGCTGCGATCCTCGAGGAAAAACCTGTAGAAGACGAGATGTGATACCCCTGAAGCTGGAGCGGAATCCGGAATCTACGATGTCACGGCAAGAAGGACTCACGAAGCCGAAGCCGTCGGTCTTGTAGATCGGACCGACCATGGTGAAGTCGGCACAGTGTTGCGAGAGGAATAGCTTTAGGTATGGTATTTCGTCGAACACTGCGTCGACACCTCCATTAGCGCTCCCCTTGGACAGGGCTTCTGCGTACTGGTCAGGCGTGCTGTAGTTCTTGAACTTGTGATCTTGGAACCCCATTCGCTTCAGCAACCCGACGGCGTAAGATCCATCTTGGTGGCCGATGTACGCCCCGGTGCTCAGCAGCTGGTTCACGTCGGTCACCGTCGGCTGGAGCTGCTGCACGGTCAGTATGGATGTCAGGCTCGCCGTGTAGCTCGACGTCAGTATCAGAACCACGAACGTGCACATGATCACTGCGAACCTCGTCAGGTTGCTCGTCAGCTTCTCCTCTGAAAACCAAATCCAACATCGAATGGCTTAGCGAGAGTTTGTCATTGTGTACTTGGATCGTATTACAGAGGTCTTGGTGATGGTGATGTACTGTGCGTGAAGACGAGGATGGAGAAGGCGAAGTAGAAGATGGTGCCCAGTTGGTCGAGCGGTTTCCCCGCGAACTCCGGGTTCTCCTGGCGCTCGATCACCCACACCATGAGCCCAGTGAACACGAAGAAGGCCAAGCTCCCGAGCCAGAGATCGATCGGCAAAGGCTCCAAGAAGATCCACAGGTCCTTGCTCTTGGCGTCCTTCACCCGCACGACCATCGACACCCCCGAATCGGTGTACGGCATCGTGAAGTCCACGAACTGCGACCGGTTGGCGATGATCGTCGTGTCGCCGACCACTGCATCAAAGTTCTGTTCATCATCACGAGCAGTCAGATACTTGGGAGCACGGCGGCGTTGACACAGTCATCAGCACGCTTCATGCAGCACTGCACGAACCTTGAGGAAGACCTGGTAGACAAAATTGTCGTAGGATTTGGAGGAGTTCGCAACCGGGATGTAGTCGAAGGTGACGGCGTACGGAAGCGAATCGATGACGGCCTGGAAGACGTCGATGCAGAAGCCGGTGACGCTTGTCCGGTTGGTCATCGCGTCGGTTTCCACCCTCACGAACTGGTCGAATCCGTGCTTGACCGGAACGGCGATTCGAAGCCTCTTCCCATCGGTGGGTATTTCCCAGCCTTTCGGCACCTCCGTCGAGTCGCCCGGCCAGACGACGGACTTGAGGCCGGCGCTGGCGGTGGAGTTGAGATGCTCCGAGATCCCGTTCTCTGGAGTCCAGAATGCGACCGTCGTCTCGCCTTCTCCGTCAACGTTGACTATCTCGAAGGCCGATGACTGGAGTTGACCGTCCACGAGCTGGAACTCTCCGGCCAAGCCACGGAAGCGGGTGTCGAAGATGGCATTCCGGAGAGCCAGCCCGGTCTGGCTTACGCCAAGCCGGGACAAGTCGGTCGAGTCATTCCCGGATCGTGAGTTCTTGAAGGCGGACCTCGCCGGATGCAGCTTTTCGACGGCCATCGCCACCGCCCAAGCCGTGTCGTAAGCCCACAGTTGGATGACCGAGGGATCGGCCGGCTTGACGGTGGGATTGTCCTGCCGGAATCTCCACCTGAACCGGGCTGTGAAGTTGGTGACCTCCTTGGATCTGTTCACGTAGTGCCGCACGCCGATCAATCCCTGCATCGCCTCCAGGACGTCCTGCCGATCGAGCAGCTCGAGGACGCTAGTGACCCCGTCGGTGGCGATCCACACGTAGCCACGGCTCATCATTCCCAGCTTCTTGGCCCGTCGGAAGAGGCGGAGGGCGAGGTAGGGCAGCATGTGGACGATGAACACCCGCGCCTCCGCGGCCTTGAGCTCGCGCAGCACCCCGTCGAGCTGGGCGTCGGTGGCCTCGGAGGGGATGACGCCGCGGTAGGGGACGCGGGCGTCGACGGACTGGAGCGCGTCGGTGAGGAAGGGGACAATGCCGGTGCCATACTCGGTGTCGGCGTAGACGAGGACCGCCTCGCGCCAGCCGAAGTGTTGCACGACGCTGGCGATGGCGGCGACCTGGGAGGAGTCGTTGGTGGTGGTGCGGACGAAGTAGGGCGTGTGGGCGGGGCAGAGGGCGGGGTTGGTGGCGGAGAAGGAGAGGACGGGGACGTGAGTCCGGTCACCGAGTTGGATGAGGAAGGCGGCCTCGGTGGATGTCATGGGGCCGATGATGGCCTTGACTCGGACGTTCTTGAGCAGGTCAACCGCTGCATCCAAGCATGAGCAGTAGAAGGGTGAGCACTAAACAGGAGTGAAGCAGTTGGTTAGTTGATGCGACGGTCACAAAAGTTGACCGGTTCAAATCCGTCACATTGGTCAAGCCAGCAGAAGTTTTGACTTTCAAAGAGGAGAACCGATTGGTTCTATTATTGGAATGGTCAACAGTCCTTCGCTCCTCCGACTTGGCATCTGCCCCTCCACACAGGTGTGTGTCTCTCTTTCTTCCGATATTTTTTTTGCTTTCCCTCAATAGATATTATTGTGTAGGATGAAGATTGATATAACAATATAAACTTGAATAGTCCACATTTAATAGTCAGAATTTGAGCGTTAATTTTGATTAAAATCCACATGCATAATTCTCAGTATTTTTTCCAGCCCACACATTTGAGGAAAAAAGATGCATCACTACGTAATGACTGACATATCGTGCAATTTAAATGCTTTTATTTGAGAATATAAATATCTCTAGCTTTGGTGGTTTAATAAAAGAGAAAAATATAAGTGATTTACCGACAATTAATGTCTTCTAATTAAAACAAATCAACTACGATATCTTAACTCCTAACTCTCGTCAACAAAAAACAAGACTGGGAATGGTAAGTCGAGTTTATAAAGATTTGGTCTCTTCCACCGTCGATCTTCTCTCCACAACCATCGAAGCGACAAATAAGAAGTGATTTCGAGCGCAGGCAATCAAGCAGACATAAGGAATCTTTTCACGTGCATTATATTTATTATGTACGGTTCGTAGCGAATTGGTCCACTTGTTAATCTTCTTCTCCATGAGCTTATCTAAACCTACAGTTTGGCTGCGGTAACGGTAGTCCTGACGGATCCAAGTCAAGGAAGGTGAAACAAGCTTGCGAGAACGCCAAAGAAACGACCGACTACTTCTGCTCTGCTTCGTGGTAGATACAGTACCTGCTGCTGCCGCGCCGACGGCGTCTTTGTCGGAGTCCCTGACATGTAGAACCACCCTCGTGGCGTGATCTCCATGGAGGGCGTAGAAGTCGTCGATGGCCATGGAGATGCTCGTCCGGCTCCTCTTCCCTGTCTCGGTCCCGAGGTCGAGCACGACGCCGACGTCGACCGACGCCGGCGACTTCTGCGCCAAAACCAGTGATCTGGAAGCACGGTGGCTGGCAAAGAAAGCGAAGAAGAAGGCGAGGAGGAGAGAGTGGAGCGGGCTTCCCATCTACGCCTGCAGCATCCCCCGAAACCAGCAGCAATCTACTTCTCCTGCCTTATATGAAGCTTTCTTCTTTGCTACGCTAGATTGGACCAATAAGTCAAGACAGGTGAAGATGACGACGCGTTCGGGATAGAATATCGATATGGTTTCTGGTGCAAAGGGTCATTGACTATTTATTAGAAGACCTTGACCTCAGTGGTTCTTGGTCTCCTCCTTTCACACTAAGAGGGACTCTTCACCGCCCTTGTCCAAAGTCCAATCCACATGTAACTAATACGAGGGTGACGCTTCAATTAATCTCATGTCAGACATGTATTATGATCTACGAGAACACCACTTAATTTGGATATATTAATTACAACATAGTTGATGGAGGAGTAATGACTAATAAGCAAGATAAAAGTGCCTTTGCACTGACCGGAGCCACCACCGAATCCTTTTTATGGTTATCTTTGATGGATTGCTTGGACTAGACGAAACTTTAGTGGCGATGGTAAAAGAGAAGGTTGTCCAACAAAGGCCTGACAATGGTATGTTACCCCGAAATTTCGGTAAAAGAAAATTATGTATGTACAATATGATAGAATTGAGTTCATGATCATATTTTTAATCTATCAATATCTGTTGTGGGAAACAACTTTGAGCCGTGGCCTCGGGGCCGACACGGCTCGATTCGGATCCGGACGATGGGGATCTCCTTGGGGCGTTCCTCGAGCCCGCTGAGGTGGTCGGGCGCGGTGGTCCGATCGGGACGGTGTAGCCGTTTCCTCCGGGCAAGAACTCCTCGCCTGCGCGTCCGGCGGGGACCTTCGGCTTCGCACCTGCACAAAGGTCGAGCCGGGGTGCTCGGCTCGACCCCTCTGACAATCAAGTCAGATGATGTGAAGGGGGTTTCAGATTAAGAAGTTTTTTTGTGTGTCTGTTTCTTTTCCTCTCCTCCCCACCTCGTTCAAAATGCGAGGGTATTTATAAGGAAGCTTACTGTTCTGATGTGCCCACTTGCAGGGGACAGGCTGGTAGCGTCTGACACCAATGTTGACGTGGCATGAGGAACTGAGCCTAGGCAGGTATTAATACGCCTCGAGCGACGTTCTGATCCGTTTGATCGGGTGCTGTCGGGTCGATCGAGGCATGAGACGTCATCTGGGACAGTTGACGTCAGCCCGGGTCTTATCATAATTACTATCCTCGTCAATATCTTTACTAGTTAAGTTAATTACATCATTTTTTCTTTTGGGTCTTTGGGTATAGTAAGAGAAGGGCCGATCGTGATCCCTAAGACGAAAACGAGAAAGAAGTGTCGATTAAATCCCGACGATGACATGCATCCTGATCCCAAACGATATATTACTTTTTTTAAATATTCATATAGGCTTATAATATAATATTTATCACACCTTAACAAAATGGGATTGATGAAAGAAGTAATCACATACTTATGAACTAAGTATAACGAGCAATTTTAATTTATCTATATCCCTTTGAAGTAAAGCAAACAGAATTCCATCTAAACTTCCTTCTAAAAGTCCTTTTGAGTTGTGAAAACTGTAAATACCAAGTTTAAGTCATTTACATATATGTGATTATCTAGTTAAAGTGAGGATTTATAATCCTTATATAAAGAAATTAGACCCTAAAATCGTCAATGATTTTTTCATTAGTTATGCTATTAACTCTAATTATTTTATATTTTTTAATTATATAATTCATAAGTCTTCTGAACAAAAATCTGTATCTTCTTCCTAAATGATTTTTGGACGAGGTTTATAGCCACTAAACTCATCGAATTATAAGAAATGAACTCCACAAAGCCTGAAAACTTTGAAATGTTAATGCATTTTGCTAAGAGAAAACATCGGAGACTTGCTTCACATAAGCCTTTCGGAAAAATAACAGTCCGAACAGAGATCAATTCTGATCAAACAGCACATTAGTTACCACTACACCTAATTCAAAGCGCACGCACGAAGAGTAGAGCGATGGGAAGGAAGAAAGGAACTCGCCAGTCGACGCACGCGACGTTCGGCGCCATTGCCGTGAGACGCGCGATGCCGTGCTCGACAGCGGCGATGGCGTTAGCGGTGGGATAGTTGATGATGAGGCGGCAGTCCAGGTCGGACCCACGGCCTGGGACTGGCAGTGGCCCTATTCACCGGGGCCGTGGGAGACCCGGCGGGGAGAGGTCGGAGGCGGCTCCGAAACGTAAGGAATGGCGCGGAAGCGGATGAGTCGAAGGAGAGGGAGAGAGAGAGAGAGGGGGTAGCGGAGAGCATGAATGGCCTTTGGGGCACGCCATTTACTCTGACGCGCGACAGAAGAGACGGCTTCATTTGTACGGCTTAGATTAGCTTTGGCTTCCGTTTCCGGTCGTCCCCTTCGAAGGATGAGGGTCTCTTTTGGGGGCAAGGATTTGTCGGGTATTTTAGTGAGAGAAAAAGAAAAAAAATTATTTTCGAGTTTTTGGGAAGCCGATGACCCCTCATTTTCAAAATTTTCAAAAGATAATTTATAATTCTTGAAATATAATTGATATGTCTCAGTGTAATTTATTCGTCCAAACATTCTATGGATCAATCCATAAGATTATAAAATATATTTATAAAATTTTTTTATAAAATCCTATAGCTGAAGAATTGAATTAGTTCGTCCTATAGGGATCAATCTAAAATTGATGAACCGATCCACTTTGTGAATAGAACCACCAAAAAAGAAAAGAGTGTTGTTGTGTCATATTAGGGATATTCTATGGATTATTAAAATATTGGGGTGGAAAATATTGAGAAATTTTTAGAAATATAATTTTAATTAAATTATTTTAAAATTAATTTTTAGTTTAGTTTAGTTTAGTTATGTCTTAACAAATAATAATTTTGTTTTTATCTGAAAAATACGTAAAATAACCAGTTTCACACAGACCGAAGTCTTAAAGTCCACAAGTCGCCACCCACTCTTTCCTCTTCAGATTCTTTTCCCTTGGCAGCTGCCCTCGAGGCGAAGAGGGGAGAAGAGAAGCGCGAACACGTAACTCCTCCTTGCCCTCTACTTCCCCCAAATTCTTCTTCCTTACCCGTTGCTTCTTGCTTAGAGTGAGTCTCCGTGAATCTTTGATCGGTTTTGCGCCGTGGAGGTTTGAATTCTTTTTGTCCTAATGCAGATTTCGGGTGATTTGATATGGAGATTATGTTCTTTATGCGAGGGTTAGGGTTACTGGATCTCTGGGTGTAGCAAGGGAAGGGCCGATCGTGATCTCGGAGACGAAGATGAGGGAGAAGCGTGGATTGGTTCCCGGCGATGACCTGCAACCTGAGCCCAAACGGCAAAAGGTGCCGGCCCTCGCGAGGTGACTGAAATCTCGAGTTGTTTTATCGTGGAACCTACAAGTTGCTTTGCTGTGTTGAAATGCTTTTTAGTGTTTCCTCGTTGATTGCTGGGGTTGGGTAGATAATTGAAGTATGGATCTTCTGGCCTGAGCTTGTGATCTTCGAAAGAAAAAAAATCATAATAGTGCGAGAATTTCTGAGAGTTAAAGCTGTGAACAATCGGTAGTTCTTTTTTTTTTTGTTTGGTTACAGCCGATAAATATTCTTGGGTATGCTGTTAAATTGCTCAAAATTGTCAATTTGATAAGATCTAGAAACAATCAATTCTTGGATAATTTCCTGATATTTTTTTTGAAAATATTTGTGTATGGTTTTAGATTTCAGATTGTTGCTCGTTTTGTTACCATATGTTCATAGGCTAAGCTAAAAGCGTCTCGGAGCTTTTGACCTTGTAGGAAATTGTTCTGTTACTTTAGGTCACAGCAGTAACTGAAAATTTTCAGATAACTTTTATCCATGAAGGGACAAAAAATTGTATCTTGTTGACAGCAATTAAAATTATTAATTAGTGAAGCTCTGTTTTTTTTTTTCTTTCATATTGCCAGCAGGAAATTTAAAATGAAATTTGTTCAAATATGTGATGCTTTAAGATATTTTTATTGAAAAAATAATTTTATTTAGTATATACTAGATGATTAGAATTTAAGAATGGTTGCCAACTCTCTAGGAAAAGAGGTAGACCAAAAACACCATGACCTTTTATGTCTAACATAAATTCATAACCAATCAACAATTTGGTAACCTCATGGTAAGTATATATAGGCACAGTCCCAGCATCATTCTAATATATTATTTGCAACCGCCAAAAACTATTGACCTTCTCTCAGCATGGCGGCTATAAGAGTTGTGAAACCAATAACAATTGCAAAATCTGATTCAATGGTTCCATGCAATATTCCATGATCAACCACCCATCCAGACCTTCCATTGGATCCCGAGGTAAGCGTGCGACATACTGGAAAGAGATGGATGGCCTACAGTGAGCAGCAAGCGGAGGAGGATTGACAGCGGCAGGTTCATAAAAAAGGAGAAGATGGTAGTGGGCTCATGGAAGAGGAGGGTGGCAGAACTCACGAGTTCTATTTAATGCCCCTGAGATGGTGGTGGTCAACATACTGTCTTTCATAAAATGCTGACTAAGTAGCGTTACTCGATCCTAGAAATTTATGAAACATATGTTTAATGTATGCACTGTTTCGACTTTCGAGTACTGACAGTTGTGGCAAACCCTGCTACTGGTGGAAAGAAAATAATTTTCTTGGACTGGCTTTAACATCATGATTACCACCTAAATCTCACTACTTAATTTGCTTGTTATTTCTCTTTTGTTAATTGATGTTCTTAGTAAGAAATAATTTTCTTCTCAACATTCAGGTTTCCTCTCTAGAATCTGAATTGATGCAAATAGACTTGTATCATGATGGATAGCATAATAGCATACTTCTTAAGCATTTCGTGCAACACGTTTCTTGTTTTTTCCATTATATATATATATATATATATATATATATATATATATATATATATATATATATATATATATATATATATATA